TTCAACAAAAACTGATGCTTTTCCCCCTTGCCCTGCAAATTGCCAAAACCAATTGCTTATTCTTAGCACTTGACAGGCCTGGTGCTTTAATGTTTCTGGCAAAAAAAATATTTAATGTTTTTAAGCATGTTTTTTTTATACATCAGTTTCATTTTGATCTATTCACTCTTTTTCCTAAAGGTACTCGACATTGTCAAAATGTTATCAAAACACAAAATATTCCAATTTCCACTTGACATAATTGCCGAAATGCAGAAGCAGAACGCAAATATGTTACTACATTGAAAGCAGAGATTCTTTCACATTTTGGTTTTGTTTGGTTTTCCCTGTTGAACATTGAAGGCTGAAGCCATTGCCAAAGCAAACAAAAACTTAAAAATATAAATAAAAGTAAAAAGACAAGCAATAAAAGTGGGCCGGAGGAAATGGGTGTGAATGGGCTATAGCCTATAGCTCCTGTCTGAGAACCGACATAAATAACTGGAATCTAGAAACAGATATGAACGGGCCTTTTTTCAACCATTTTGTCAAAACATGATCTCCAAGGTGAAAAAAAAAATAAAAAAGGGAAAAGGAAAAGAACAAATCAAGTAAAAGACTTCATTTGCTTTAATCATTCAAAACAAAAGCGTTCCCTTACATGGGTTATGGCCCATCCATTCCTCATTCCACAAACCCTTTTTCTTTGGTATCTTTCATACATATGCTATATATTATATATCCCCCATCCCCACCGCAGGGTCTTTTGAAAAGCTTATGTCCCCAATGTACCAGAGTAACATTCATACACTAGCAGCAAAAAAATCGATGGAAAGTGAAAAACGTTGCTTTAGGGAGACAATTGGGGTCCCCTGCTAATGCTTGCGATTGCGAAAAACCAGTTTGGAGGGTACCTTGCTTTTCGTGGATGTGTAGTACTGTTAACAAAAAGAGAAAGAGATAATGCGTGAGGTAATGTTTAAGCCAGCTTCTTGGCATGGGGTTTTTGTCAACTTTGTCAAAGCATGGAAGCTATCTCTTTAGAAAACAAACATCACATTCTTTTTTTATTTTTTTTTTCTCTTTTTTCAGATCCAATTGCATAAAAACTCTTGGTTTCAAACTATAAGCAAGGAATAAAGATCATTTTTACTTTTAATTGATTAATTAGTAGTGGATCAATGACATGTTAAAGTGCTATATAAAGAAACTATACAACAATAAAAGTACTTAGAAAAACTTAAAGTAATAAAAAGTTTATATTTAAGTTATTACTTGTAAATATGTTAATTATGTTTTTTTTAAACATCTAAAACTTTTTTTTATATTCTAAAATTATTTTTTATGATTTTTTTATTTTTTAACATTTAAAATCATGAAATTTTAATTTTATAAAAAAAATTAATATTAATATTAAAATTAAAATTTATTTCTTAAACTCCATAAAAATTAGTAACACTTAAATAATTTGAGACAAAAGAAGTAATAGATTTACACATGGACCCAAATATAGAAAAAATATAGAATAAAGAATGATTAAAAAGTATTGTGTAGGAATTGGAATTTAATTCATATAGCTCATACATTTATTCTTTAAGTGATGACATTAAACAAGTTTAGGATTCAAATTTTAATGCTTAAAATTTTTTTTATTTCAACTGTAAATTTTTTTATAAAAAAAGGCATGGCTTTTTGAACATCAAAGCTTTGAATGAATCAAGAGGGCAGGGCATTTTGCCCTTATACCAAGTTAGAGCATCCAACTACTGCCGTGAGGAAAAGGCCAAGAGCCAAAAAATATGCACATCTTAAATGCTTATTATGCTGGGCTTTTTATCCACAAGTATAGAAGAACTTATGCATATATCTTGTTAAGTATTTAATTTAAAATCGATAAATATATATTAAATATTTAATTTAAAATTAATTGATAGTAAGTAAAAATATTAATTTTAAATATAATAGATTATATATTAATTTTAAATATAATAGATTAAGTTAAATATTTATTAAAAATTTACTATATAATAGATTTGAAAAAAATAACAGAAAAAAATCTTAATCTTAATATTATATTAAGTATTTAATTTAAAATCAATTGATAATAAATAAAGGAGTTAATTTAAATATAAAATTATAAAAAATTATATATTTATTAGATATGAGATAATATATTTTATCATATATATAAGAGAGTGAGATAATAATTAATGATGCATTTTAAGCAAAGTATATAGCACTAATTAATGGAATAATATTATTATAGATATTATAAAATGAATTTCTCTAGTAATTTACTGTGACATGTGGTGTCCATGTCACACATGAAAAAGAAGAAAGGAAAAAACACTTTTTTGACTTCTCTACTAGTAAGAAATTAATTTGTGGTGCCCAGGACTTTTTTAGTGGTCCCTTTTTACCACTAATTTCATAGTGTGCAAGCATTTCAAATAAATGGCCACATGGTTGGTTGAGATTTGAGAGTGAATATGGGTGTGATTGACAGGACAGAAAAATTGCATCGTCAAAATTAAAAACTTACAGAATTGTCCTGTGATTGTGTACTAAGTATAATTTATGGATTAAAGTGTTAAACCGCATATCGGAGGATGGACATGCAATTTTGGATTTTTGTGAATGAATAATTTCGTTAGATGGTGGATTGTCACGTGTTATTCATCGAATATTTTACACTACTTGTAAGATATAAATTTTATCTTTACTTTCATTTATTTATTTTAATAGATAATTTGTAAATTTAATATAAATTTTTACTGAATTTATTATATACCCTAACTCTAAAATGGGATAATCTACTTTTATCCAAAATCTGTTGTAAAAAAAAATAAATAAACTTTCAATGATACCACCACAAATTAAAAATAAAATAATTTTATTTCCTTCCTCAAATTAAAAAAAAATCAAATTTGTCAATCAGTGAAATAGTTTTTTGTAATATGAATTTGGTAAAATATATGGTTGATGACCATGTAATCTACTCTATGATATAGTATTAATTAATAGTAGTATTTACTATAACTTCCCTCTCCTATTTAATGCTCATTAATTAATTTACGGATTAACGTGAATTTTTTATACAAAATAAGTAATAATTTAAGAAGATATTTTAATTTAAAAAAATTTTCTTAACTTTATAATTGTTTAAATATAATAAAAATTATATAAAAATTCACCACTTATAAATATAAATTTCATATAAAATTTTGATAAATCCTATATAATTTTAAATTATAATTTTTTTATTAATAAATTTTTAAATTATAATTAATCATATATATATTATATTACAACATACATAATTACCAAATAATAATTACTGACGTAGATGCTTATGTAAATAGTTTCTTTTTTTGACACATAAGATAATTCTTAAAACTTCTCATTATGATAACACATATGATATTTATTAATTTTAAATTATTTATAAAAATATATTTTAAAAATTATAAATTATCTAAAATTTTAAAATTTAATCAAAAATCAATTTAAATTCTAATGAAATTCTTTTATCCTATACATCACTTTATCTTAATTTAAAATCAATTTTAAAGTAATTTATCTTTTTTAATTTTTCTATAATTAACATGAGTATTTAAATTTATTATAACTTTAAAAAATATTATTTAATATCTTTAATTTTTTGGATAAATACTTATTAGATTATCTTCAACTTTTAAATATATTTCACAAAAAAAATATAATAAATAAATAAATAATACGTCATAACACAGTCATATAAACCCTGACAGAAAATGAAGACTAGAAATTATTTTCTATGTAACAAAATGGGAACTATTTGTCTAAAAATTAGTGGATCAATTCAACTTAGTAAAAAGACTAATGCATAATTTTCAAAATTAAAAAAAAAAATCAAATAAAGCCAAATGTATCAATTAATGACACTTTCACACTTACAACATCTTTTAAGCCTTTTATGTGAAGCTAAATAGAATTGATATATAATTTTTACACTTTTTAGTTATATGATTGCAAAAATATTTTATGATCTAAAATGATATGTTTGATAAATTGATTATCAAGAATCCATTTAGATTCTAAACTTTGTCATTACAATAAAAATGTTAGCAGTAGAAAATTTTTCAAAATATCTGTTGTGAATAGAATTAATATATAAAACATCAAAAAACTATTAGATAGAAGTATCAAATATTAAAATATAAAACATCAAAAAAGCTATCAGTTAAAAGTATAAAATATTAAAATTTAAGTATTATTATCTGAATAGATATTCTTTATAGATAAATTTATTATTTAACTATATTTATGAATTAAAGTTTATCAAGATTTAAATGAAAAATCAATTTGAATATAAGATAATTAAATAGATAAAATTATTATTTAAATATATTTATGGATTAAATAAAATTATATAACTTGACTCTTTATTGTCTTTTCATTCAACTTATTTTTCAAATAATATTCTATCTTCTCACAAACTTTAACATTATTTTTTTATTGCTCTTTTATTTAAGGTGGATTCATTTTTTCTTTGCTTTTTCATTTATATTTTATATATTTTTTAAACATATTAATAATTTAATAACATTAATTTTTATTTTTATTTAAATTTAAATAAAATAAAAATAATTCGTCCGAATAATAAGCTAGTTAATTATATTTCGTAAGTGATAAGATCCTCATATTCCGAAGAGAAAGGAATGGATACTATCAGTTGAATAGTCAGTTACGAATTAAACTTAAAATAGAATAATTCTTTCGTTGTTGAATGATGGAATTATTAACAAGTTCGTAATAATGAACAAAAATAGGAGAAAAATGGGATAAGACTAAGACTAGCTTCTAGAAAACCCACAAATCGCTAAGAAGAAAGACAAAAAAGGCAATTATTTTTTTTCACCTAATAGAATAAGTAGGCAAAATTCTCCAGTTTTACTTGAAGAAAAATTAAACTGTAAGATTACTCAACATGGGGATTCAAGAGTAGTTTTATAAATACTTCGGAAAAAAAAAAAAAAAAAAAAGCAGTGATTGATTTTCTGAAGAGAAGTACCATTAAATTTATTCACGTGACACCCTTATAAAGTCCTTGGTCTTGCTGAATCTGTTATCATACTTTGCTACGTCTCTCGCTTTCTATTTCTCTCTCTTTCTGGTTCGTTTCCTTTTTCTTTTATGTGTCCTTCAGGCTACGTTTATGTGTTCTTCAGGCTACTTGATCGTTTTTTGTGTTCTAAGGCATTTTTTTTCTGATACAATTAAACTAATTAACCCAAGAAAACTTGGGTTGGTTTTCGTTTTTTGTCTGATCAAGAGGAAACTATGTGTGCAGAGAACTAATTATTGAAGTGAGAAGATTGAAAAGATTGGTATTTGCATGAAAAAAGATGGCAGAAGATCATGATGGAGGAACATCAGCTACTAAAGGAAACGATTACAACAACAATGGCAAGAACAAGAAAGGAGCAGATGATCAGAAGGTGCCATTTTACAAGCTCTTTTCGTTTGCTGATAGATTGGATATCGTTTTGATGACAGTGGGAACGATCGCATCCATTGCCAATGGGATGACACAGCCTCTCATGACTCTCATATTCGGACAACTGATCAATTCTTTTGGTGCAACAGATCCATCCCACATCGTAAAAGCAGTCTCAAAGGTTAAACAAACCAACTTTTTCTTGTTTTCTTTTTGTTGGGTTGTATTTTGATTGTCTTTTGTCATTTCATGTGGAAGCATCACTGACATTCCAACTGAAAACCAGTCTTAAGGTTTAGCTTTTAAGCAATGTTCGTATACAGAATCAAAAAATAGAAGTTCAAGTTTGTTGCTTCTTTGTTTCTTGACTTTAAAGATTCAACCATAAATATGGTTAATACATTGAGGTCTTTTCAATAGATTGAATTTGATTTTATTCATTTCATAGAAGCAATAATTTAAAACCATGGCTGCAGGCGTTTACTGATTAACAGAATTAAGAAACTGAAACTGGGATCTGTTTTTTTTTTTTTTTTCTAGTGAAACTGTTGTGGGAAGTTTTTGATGAATTGATATGAAGATCGGAGAAGATGAGCTTGGACATAATTTCTTCTTCAATCTGATCGATGTTTATAATTAAGAACATTAATCAATGAAAGTAAGGCATGCAAAACAAATATATGACAAATCTACAGCCACTTGGATTCAAAATAAATGGTTGCTACTTGCTAGTAGATTTTTCATTCCTTTTTTGTAACAATTAAATGGAGGTTAGCTGAAATCTTGTCCATCCTGATTCGGGGGTTGAGGGAGTGATCACTAATGCCACAACTACGCAATATTGACTTTTCCTTTTTATCCTGATTCTTTAAACTCCTTTTCAGAAAAGATGGGGTAGAATCCAATTCAACTCCAACCAGTTTGTTTCATGAGAATTATGAAAATCTTTGAATTTAGAATTAAATGCATTAATTTTTGGACTGTAGCTAACCCTTTGTCTGTGTAAAATCGTTTGTTATTATGGCCGACATAGGGTGGATTTAGGTTATGATTTGCATTTCAGTATGTTGGGGAAGTTGGTTAGGTAGAGTTGTGAGCATATGGTCTAAGCTTTGTCGGTAAAACTTGTAGCTCTTCCATGTATGGACCTTGGAGAGCCTCTTTACCATGCTGTGAAGTAATTTTAATTAATTAGTAGTAATAAATTTTAATTATGATATTAACTTAAATGCAATTTTTTGTTGTGTGATTTCCAGATTGCAGTAAGGTTTTTATACTTGGGAGTTTATGCCTGCATCGCTTCATTTCTACGTAAGTGTTGATACTGTTGTCTTTCTTGCTCCATTTCTATTTTTTTTAACTGCAAGGATAAATCAAGATTTTAACTGGTTAGGCATATAATATTTGATAGTAAAAAGTAAACGGTATTTTTTAAACAATTAAAATTTTAATTGTCATAGAAATGGAAGAATTAATGTACATTCATATGATTCCGTATTTTTTTTGAATTAATATTACATCTCAATAATTATGATGATCTTGAGCTTAGATAAATTAATAATTACCTCTCAAGCATGGATCCCATTTGGCTAGATATAGTGAACAAGTGATAATCACAATGATGATGGCCAATGGCATGCCTAGCTAGAATTATTCAAGAAACTTTATATTAAAATATATATAGCAATCACTAAGGAAGTGAAATATTCATTGCTCATTTAGTTTTGAATTTTAAAATAATTAATTAAAATATTAATTATGCACCTAAGATCAGAGTTACTCTGATAAGAAATTAGCGGTGCAAGTCAGCTAAGCCTTTGCATGTTTGATGGTTATAATATACAGAGGTAGCATGTTGGATGGTGACTGGGGAAAGACAGGCCACCCGCATTCGGGGTTTGTACTTGAAAACGATACTGAGACAAGACATTGGATTCTTTGACACTGAAACAACTACCGGAGAAGTCATTGGGAGGATGTCAGGAGATACTATCCTTATTCAAGAGGCAATGGGCGAGAAGGTTAATAATATTGCCATTTCTTGATCTGCTTTGTAATATAAAAGAACAATTGCTATAATTAATTTGTTGGCCTACTGCTAATTCTAAGTATTCAAGAGCAAATAAATAATCATTCTGAATCCTGTGAACAACATACAAGGATTTTGATATATAGTTTGTGACAGGTTGGGAAGTTTATACAACTTGTTTCAGCTTTTATTGGTGGGTTTGTAATTGCATTTACGAGAGGATGGGAACTTGCCCTTGTTTTATCGGCCTGCATCCCTCTTGTTGTCATTGCTGGTGGAACCATGGCAATGATAATGGCAAAAATGTCAAGCAGAGGACAACTTGCTTATGCGGAAGCTGGAAATGTAGTAGAACAAACAGTCGGCGCCATTAGAACTGTAAGCTTTTAGTCTTCACCTCTTCACCTAAGGTTGGAATTTGTTTTGGGCAAAAAAACAACTCATTTAACTTGATTGATTTTGTTGGTAATTTTTCTTTCAGGTTGCATCCTTTACCGGGGAGAAACAGGCTATAGAAAAATATAACAGCAAGCTACTAATCGCCTATACTGCCACCATTCACCAAGGGCTGGTATCAGGCGTAGGACTTGGTGCAATGTTGGTTGTTGTGTTTTCCAGTTATGGACTAGCTGTGTGGTATGGATCTAAATTGATCGCACACAAAGGATACAATGGCGGACAAGTCATCAATGTTATAATAGCAATCATGACAGGTGGAATGTAAGTATAGTATTAGTATTACTTCATATTTTATAGCTTCCTCATTAACTGTGAAATACTATTCTCTCGTATCTGTGAAACATATTGTTGCCAAGGTTTCATCACTTACATATTTTATTATATCTCGGATTAGGTCATTGGGTCAGACAACTCCCAGTTTAAATGCGTTTGGATCAGGGCAAGCTGCCGCATATAAGATGTTTGAGACAATCAAACGGAAACCAAAAATTGATCCTTATGACACCAATGGAATAATATTGGAAGATATCCAGGGTGAAATTGAACTCAAAGATGTGCATTTCAGGTATCCTGCCAGACCAGATGTCCAGATATTTTCTGGTTTTTCATTGCATATCCCGAGTGGCACAACTGCAGCCTTAGTTGGGCAAAGTGGGAGCGGGAAATCAACAGTAATTAGCCTTTTAGAGCGATTCTATGATCCTGATTCTGGTGAAGTTCTTATAGATGGAGTTGATTTGAAAAAGTTGCAGCTCAGATGGATAAGGGGGAAAATTGGGCTAGTCAGTCAGGAACCTATTCTGTTTGCAACTACTATCAGGGAAAATATAGCATACGGAAAGGAAAATCCGACCCACGGAGAGATTAGAACAGCAATTGAGCTTGCTAATGCTGCCAAATTTATTGACAAGTTGCCACAGGTAAAAATGCACTGGTTTTAATATTCTCTATCATGTAAAAAGCTGTCTAACCTGTCTAGTCTTCGACATGCCTTAGCTCAAAGCATCACTGAATTAACTGTTGATATCCGTTTGAACCATACGGGAGGCCCAACCTTACAAAACTGTATTTTTTTTCAAGCAACTAATTGAAGAATTGCTATCTTGGTACAGGGGCTTGATACCATGGTGGGAGAGCACGGAACTCAACTTTCAGGTGGACAAAAGCAAAGAATTGCAATAGCGAGGGCCATCTTAAAAAACCCAAAAATCCTCCTGCTTGATGAGGCTACAAGCGCCCTGGATGCTGAGTCTGAACGAGTTGTTCAAGATGCACTGGTGAAAGTGATGTCCAATAGGACAACTGTGGTGGTGGCACATCGGTTGACAACTATCAGGAATGCTGACATGATAGCAGTGGTGCACCAAGGGAAACTTGTGGAGAAAGGTAACATCTCTAAACCAGCTGTATTAACCTAAATTTCTAAATTATTTCACCAGTTTGCAATATTAAAAGTTTTAATTCTAGGATCGCATGAGGAGTTGATCAGAGATCCAGAAGGTGCTTATTCCCAGTTGGTTCGGCTGCAAGAGAGAGCTAAAGAAGGTGAAGGTGTTCCAGCCAAGGAAGCAGAAAAATCAGATGCAATTTCCGATATAGATAAGGCCATTACCAGGTCCGGAAGCCAGAGCTTGAGCTTTTCTTTGAGAAGGTCTATAAGCAGAAATTCATCAAGTAGCCGACAATCCTTCACATATAATTTTGGTCTTCCCGCTCCTGTTAGTTTTTATGAGACTGAAGAAGCAGACGTAGAGAGCAGTGTAAGAGAGGAAATTGACATTGAAAGAAGCAAAAGTGTTTCTATTAAACGGCTGGCCTCTCTTAACAAAACTGAGGTGCCAGTTCTATTGGTTGGATCCATTGCTGCAGCTGTACATGGAGTAGTTTTTCCTATGTTTGGTCTCTTTTTCTCATCAGCCATTAAATCATTCTATGAGCCAACTAGTCAGCTGTTAAAAGATGCCAGGATTTGGGCACTTTGTTATGTTGGAATGGGTTTAGTTACTCTATTAGTTGGACCGTTGCAGAATTATTTCTTTGGAGTTGCAGGTGGGAAATTGATTCAAAGAATTCGTTCCTTAACATTTGAGAAGGTTGTCCACCAAAACATCAGTTGGTTTGATGATCCTGCGAATTCAAGGTATTTTAAGCAACCTCTTAACTTCCTCATGCTAGAAATTCTTGCAGCTATAACAACAATATCTCTTCTGGACTTCTCAGTGGCGCCATAGGAGCGAGGTTGTCTACTGATGCATCTACTGTACGAAATCTCGTCGGCGATACCTTGGCCCTGATTGTACAAAACATATCTACTATTACAGCAGGATTAATCATAGCATTCACAGCTAACTGGAAACTGGCTCTGGCAATTCTAGCCGTATCCCCATTTATGTTAATTCAAGGATACCTGCAGACGAAATTTCTGAAAGGGTTCAGTGCTGATGCAAAGGTCAGTGATACCCTATGAAGCTATGACAATTGAGTTATCTAGATGAAGGGATTGTTTGAATTGTACTAAACATTAATATATATGTATGTATGTACGTATATGCAGTTGATGTATGAAGAAGCTAGCCAAGTAGCTAATGACGCTGTTGGAAGTATCAGAACTGTTGCCTCTTTTTGTTCAGAAAAGAAGGTGATGGATTTGTACGAACAGAAATGTGAAGCCCCCATGAAACACGGAGTCCGTCTTGGAGTTGTAAGCGGTTCTGGGTTCGGATTCTCTTTCTTTGCTCTATACTGCACAAACGCCTTCTGTTTCTACATCGGAGCTGTACTTGTAGAGCATGGGAAAGCAACATTCGAACAAGTATTCAAGGTAAACTCAGAAAAATTTTCTTTCCATCTTTTAACAACTATCTTGAAGTGTTAACCTATTAATCTTAAATTATGGTTGTTTGCAGGTTTTCTTTGCCTTGACAATCTCAGCCATCGGTGTTTCACAAACCAGTGCCTTGGCTCCTGACACCAATAAAGCCAAGGATTCAACAGCTTCAATATTTGAAATTCTTGATAGAAAACCCCCAATTGACTCAAGTAGCAGTGCTGGCACTACACTAACCAATGTAGCAGGTAATATTGATTTAGAACATGTCAGCTTCAAGTATCCAACGCGACCAGATATTCAAATATTCAGAGATTTGTGTTTGAAAATACCGTCTGGAAAGGTATTTACTACCACTCGAACTTCAATATTTCAGCAATCATTTCCATCTACTACGAGAGGTTTACAAATTTATACTCTAGAACTCTTTTCCTTAGGGTTTTTCTTTTTTTTTTTTTTTATCATCTTTGCAGACTGTTGCACTTGTTGGAGAGAGTGGGAGTGGGAAGTCAACTGTCATCAGCCTCATAGAAAGATTTTATGATCCTGACTCTGGTCATGTAATATTGGATGGGATGGATATCCGGAAGATGAGACTAAGCTGGCTGAGGCAACAAATGGGATTAGTTAGTCAGGAACCGATGCTTTTCAATGAGACCATCCGTGCCAACATAGCCTATGGCAAACAGGGAAATGCCACGGAAGAAGAGATCATAGCGGCAACAAAAGCAGCAAATGCACACAATTTTATCAGCTCATTACCTCAGGGTTATGACACCTCAGTAGGAGAACGAGGAGTGCAGTTGTCTGGCGGCCAAAAGCAGCGAATAGCCATAGCCAGAGCCATATTGAAGGACCCCAAAATCCTTCTGCTTGACGAGGCAACCAGTGCTCTAGACGCTGAATCAGAGCGTGTGGTGCAGGAAGCATTGGACGGAGTTATGGTGAACAGAACCACCGTAGTTGTTGCTCACCGCCTTACTACCATAAAGGGTGCTGATATTATTGCAGTAGTGAAAAATGGAGTCATCGCTGAGAAAGGAAGCCACGAGGCATTGATGAAGATTACTGACGGGGCTTATGCCTCCTTGGTAGCACTTCACTTGAGCTCTTCAACATGAGTTGAAAACAACCATTGGAAGAGCTTCTACCATAACTTCACACCTTTCTTTTCAGTTAACACTCACACCGTGCAGATGAAGAAGATTTTCAAATAAAAACTCCAATCTCTCCAAATAAATTACTCTGAAATCAAATTCTTCCCGCTCAAGGGTATTTATATATGTTAAGTAACGACACGGAACTTGATATAGTGTTTTTTCTTTTTTTTTTTTAGAATCCTTTTCCCTCTTTCCCTTAGACATCATTGAATAACTACTTTCCTCCTGTTCAGAAACTATATCAGGTTAATTATGCGATACTGAAGAGAAATAAATATAACCTTTGTATGGTTCAGAAGTCTCAATTTCAAAGCTCAAAGTTTAACTCGATTAATGCAATTATTTAAAAGATAATATTTAATAAATTTAAGTTCAAATCTTAACATTTTTAATTTCTTTCTTAATTATCTCTAAAATTATAACTTTCTTTATAAAAAAACCTATTATTATTACAAGCACAAATTTCTAATATGAAAAATCAATCTAAATCTTTTGAAATTTGAATATAATTTCTAGCAAAAATTTTGTTTAAAAATTATATAAATTTTATTAACATTTAAAATAAAAAATTTAAAAATATATTTGAACAAATATATACATTTGGTTTATCCAAAGTTTTACAATATTTAAACTTTTATATACGTTATAGATTGTAAATGGATAATAAATTCAATGTAAATATCATTATAATAATATTATAAGATCTAAGAAATTGTTGCTTATAAAACGAGTTGGATGATCTATGTTTAAGCTTCTTGGGGAATTGATCACCACAGTGCCATCACCTTCCAAAATCACATACCCAAGACCTAATTCGTTTTTCACTCGAGAATTTTGGTATTCGTTTTTTACTCGAGAATTTTGGTTCTGATTGTTTATCTAATTTGCAATTATGTTATTCGAAAAGGAAAAAAATTAAAGAAAAACCTTTGGACATGCCAAGAATAGCCTAAAACTTACATTAAATGCCACATACCACATATCTACAGCAAGAAAATATAAAACCAGTTCCCTTCATCTCCAGGTCGCAGTAAAACAACCATGTATTTTATCCAAGTCAACAAAATCTTCATTTATGCAAAACATGGCTGATAAGCTTAAACTGATAAAAGAATGTAACATCAAGACATGGTAACTTTTTTAGTACACATGGAAGGTAAGAGAATGAACACTGCAAAAGAACCCATATGATTACTAGAGGATAATATGCCTTTTTCCTCTAAGGAAAAAGCATTATACAGACTAAATTAAAAAAAAAAAAAAAAAAAAAAAAGGAATGGCCTTTTTTTATGGAGGATAAAATGCTTAACTCTTAATTATAACTTAATAGACTTCACCGGCAAGATTATTGGACGGAAGTCTCTGGCGCTTCTCAACATAAGCTGATGGAAACCACCCTGCTTTACCCTTGCATTCTCCTTCTGACCAACCAGATGGGCTTACCTGTAAAAGCAATATACAAAGTTTTGTTATTAGTAGTATTATTTTTGTTGGCATTAAATAAAAAGCTTAAGCTAGAGCTAATTAAATGAAAGATTGAAAAGTACAGGACCTAGGGTATCCAATAAGGTACCTTTTGTGCAAAACTTCACATATATAGGGGATGAGTTGCAAGCTATGCACAAAGTCATAAGTGAAAAGGTATCTAGCATTATTCTTCCTTTTCTGTCCTTTACATTAGCTTAGAGTGATTTCTACAACTATAATCTAGATCACACCAGTCTATCGAGCTAAATGGAACCTATATGCAACTTAGATATAAGTCTAAGGAAAAGAAAATAGAATACCTTTCGCACCACAATGAAGTCACCTACTGACAAGCTCAGTTCCTTCTCAGATGAAGCAGAAAAAGGATGCATTGCCTGTGACAAGAAACTCAAAATATCAGTGCTTCATGCTCCTAAAGGGGTCCAATATGTAAGAGGAAACACCTTCAAGGAAGAGAAACTCACAAGTTAGAACAACTACTTGATTCATTCTAATTTTCATGTCCAATGAAAAATGTAAAAGGCAAATCTAACATATGCAATGTCTTCAACCATCAAACAATTTTCATTTTTTTTTCTTTTGTCTCTAATGTTATGGTTTATGCAATACAAGATTTCTTGTTGATGGACCTATTTGCTAGAACATTCTTCAAATTTACAAGATTAGGTAAACTTACTTCAGCCAAGTAATACATAGTTTTATCCGAGCCATTCTCAGGTGCAATCACAGGAGGAGCAGATTCTTTACGCTGTTTCTCAGAGACCATCTGAAAAGTTCAACACAAAGATATAAGTTTACATATTTCAAATATAAAAAAATTCTTCAACAGAAACAAGAAAGCCTGGAAATAACCTCAGCTTCAATCTCATTAAGAATAGCAGCCACTCTTAAATGATAATTCTTTTCCCCTTCAACCTACAAATGCATAGATCAAAATCTTGAATGTCATCCATGAATTAAGTTATGATTCAATTTGAAAGCTGCATACACTGAAGTAATGTGCATGTATACCATTGCTACAAGTCTTTGTAAAGTCAGTCTTTGCTGCTGTGCTTCAACAGCAGCCAATGCAGCAGCAGCTTCTTTACCCAGAACTGCCATATTTGCTTTAAGTTCCTGCATCCTTGCCTCAGCAGCATGCAACTTTGCAACATTTTCAGGAAGTGGAGCTTCTCTTATTCGTGCTTGTCTTCTGGAAATCTCTGCTGCCTGTTTGCTTTCCATATTTAGTATCAATTATGAGTTTCTGAAGCAAATCTTAACAATAGGGAATTTAAACTGGTGTTTAATATATAGAAAATAATCAATGCACAGGGAGCTCAGCTTTCTAATTAATTACCTGTGCCTCTGCTTCCTGTCTCATTCGACTATAGCGTTGGGCAAGATGACGAGCATCTTCCAGAGAAGCACCAGTGATCATTGCTCTCAAGGGATCCAAAACCTAATGCATTTCGAAATAGAAGGGTCATGTTTCTACTTGGCACTAGTTATTCTCAATTAACAGTAACCTAAGCATGCAATCGGACAAGTTTCATTGAATTATGAAATAGAACATACAGATTCTTTGCATATATACAAGTATGTAGTCTTGTAACATTAAAAAGGGAGTTCAAAGAAAGCATCATAATCATTTTGGATTGAATGTGTTTACAAGTACTATAACTAAAGCCTATTTTCTGATATGATAAAAAAATCTTTCAAAACACATAACATCCAATAAACATCTACCTGTTGGGATAACAACTTAATTAAATCTTCGTGCTCCTTATCTACATGTTTACGACCATCACCATAAATAGCTGCAGCTTTAGCAAGAATATTTTCATTGATGTTTTCACTATTTTCAGTTCCACATTGGCAGCATTCTTCAGAGAACTTGGTTCCTGATTATCATAAAGATTAAGAACCATAAGCATAAAGTTTTATATTCAAAATATATGTTACTTATTCCTATCACACATTTCACAATAGGACAATTTAATTTAAAAAAAAAAGTATGAATTAATTCTGGACCTGTTTCAATATGCTTATACCCGATGGCTGTAAATGCTTCTGCAGCTTTAATAACATCTTTCTGAAAATCCTGAAATGAGGAAGGTAAATGCATTAAGCAAAATTTGCAGTAGATATAGAAAATTAAAGAGAAATCAGTTTTTATGAAAGTTGCCAAGACAACATAATGTAATTGAGCTACTAAAACATCAGAACATAATACAGCCATTAGTAGGTCTCATAATATTTTGTTCCTTTTTTCCCCCCTTAACTTTTACCTTGCTAAATTTTTTCATAAAAATGAAACCAAGGGAGTTTATCTGTAACTGTAACTCAAGTACATAGGACGCACTGAAGGGAGATTATCTAAATTCCTTGGAAAGTTTCAGTAAAATTGAATGATGATAATGGCTTCATTTGTAAAGATATCAATAACAGGGGATCATATGAGCATTCAGTCTTTTTTAACAAGACAAATCATGATTTTCAAATTTAAGTTTCACAAATATGTAAAGGAAATGATCTTTACCCTTCCTGAACGAGTGGACCTGTACAATTTATCCAGTTGTTGATGTCTTTGCATCTCAATCTCATCAATAACTACAACATCTGAGCTTTCATAACCACTTCCACTAAATTGCTTTATTACAGCCTGCAAAACAAGTTTTCTAACTCGATAGGAGAAGATATTTAAAGCAAAATGCAACTAGCAAAGTAAAATAAACATGCAAAAACTAAAAGTTACTTATCAGGACTTAATTCAATCAAAATTCGGCCAGTAGAAGAAGGTAGGAAGAGAAAGTTTTTGAAGGACAAGCATGCTCGTAACAAGGTAACCAAATGAATGACATCCAAGCCCATATGTATACCAAATGCAATAAAACATTCAAAGATAAAGCCAATCAATCAACACTCATCAGATTTTTCAAAGCACTTGACATCTCACTGATTACTCTCAACTTTCAGGTAAAAGGATGAAGCTTTGCAATAATACAAAGTTTTGAAACTCTATATCTACTCATGTCCACGTGTTAGAAGAATGGGGATGCAAATAAATACTTTTTCTAAAGGTAGGTGTAGTTTTTTCAGGATATATAGCAAAATATAAACTCAATGAGTGTTTTCACAGTCCTGAACTTTGAATTTGTAATGGAACTAGCTAATATACGTAAAAAGAATCATACCACTTTGATGATTATAAATTACAATTGAACGTTTAGAATTAACTCCACAATTCAATCTTTAATTCTTGATACATATACATTTGACCCTCAAACTTCTAGAAGTCAAATTAATCAAAGATATTTAAGTTTGCAGTATTGCAAATTATTAATTTCTTGCAAGTTAAAACCAAAGAGAAAACGAAAAAAAAAAGTCTTTGCTTTCTTTTTTCCAGTTTTCCTCCATTTTCTTGGCAACCAAACCAATTCTCATTAAACTAAGTGAGAGAAAGAGAGGGTAGTGATGAAATTGCCTGCTGTTGCTTGGCAACTTGTTCTCTGAGCTTGCTGGCTTGCCTCCTCAAAGCATCCATTGGTGCTTCACCTAACCTTTTCCGATCCTTTTAACACAAGGAAAGAGATTCGCCAAAAAAAAAAAAAGAAGGCTTTTTCAAATCTGGATTTTATTTTATTTATACACTGATTGATTTGTCAGATCTCACAGCTATGTTTTGAGAGCTCAAGCCTTTGTTTTTCCTCTGAACTCTACTTCGCTGCCGCAATTTACCATGTTTTTTCAGACTTTTTTCCTGTGGTGAAGAGGTGCAACTTGTCCTCTGAATTTGGACCGTTGGATCGGTTGATGCAATAGTGAATGGGCTTCTTCTTTGACTTCCCTTTTGGATTGCCGTGGGCCCATATCATCTCTCGGCTTTGTTCTTTCTCGGGCTCAATTCTCGTGACCCAATTTGACTACTCTGGACTGGGTCTGGGCACAAAAACAAATACTAGGCTTCCCTTTGGAAAATTAAGGCTGAAATTTTATGAGAACAAACTTGGATTTTGATTGATATAGATATTAATTGTGTCAAATTAATTATTCAATTTTTAATCATTTCATTTTTTGAAGATACATACATAATCATTTCATTTTTAATCATTTCATACATAATTAACTATACTTACACTTTAGTAATGATTCATGTATGATTTACTACTCAATTTACATGGTTTAAATACATATTTATCATATCTATACAATAGATTAAACTTGTTCTCAAAAAATTAAAATTTAATTTATGGACAATTAATATTTATCTTAAAATATGATGTGATAAATTGGATATAAAATTACAACATTAAATATGTGCATAATTTTTTTAATTTTGCATGAAAAGTGACAATTTCAATTTGGATTTTTTTTTCATCTAGGTATTGTAGGCAATTATCTAGTTATAATTAAATTTATAACTATATATAATAGTATCTTTTTGTTTAATTTTTTTTACATATAGTCAAACAATTAGTCAGGTTATGAGACTTCTATTTTATTTTTTATAAATTTTTTTTTTAAAGAAATGTTATGAAAAACATTACAAATTTTTAATAAAAAATATTTCTCAGTAAATATTTTTTATGAAAATAATGACAAAATTTATAAAATATTAATAATCAATTAAACATATATTATACATACATACATACATATAAATACATACATTTATTATTATATACTATAATTAAAAATAGTCTCCTAATTTAATTAGCCCCCTTAGGAGACTACGGTTTTATCTTTTATACAAATTTTTTTATTAAAAAGGAAAAATGTTATAAAAAAAAAACAAAAAATTAATAAAAATATTTTTTAATAAATATTTTTATGAAAATTTACAAAAAAAATTACAAAACATCATTAATAAATAATCAATTAAACATATATATACATGTATATAAATATATACATTTATTGCTATATACTATAATTAAAGGTAACCTTCTAATTTTTACTAGTCGTTAGCTTTAATTGAGGGCCTCATTGCTTGATATTTATAGAACAATTAGGCCTTCACAAACTTTTTTTTATTTGGTTAAGGAGCAAAACAATATTTTTATGTATATAAAAATAATCTTTCAAATAGTATTTTAAGTTAAATGAAGATCTAATTCAATGAGGCCCTCATTTTTTTTTTTTGTAATTTTCATTTAAAAAAGAAAAATACAAAAAAAAATCTAACAAAAAAAGAGATATGAGGTTTTTTTTTTTTAAATCTTCTAAAACATATCCATTTGCATATTGTTTACTAAATTAAATTAAATAGTAAAAGATATTTAATTAAAAAAAAACTCTTAAAATGAAATTTTTTAAGAAATTGCAATTGATAATTTCTTATATTTCATACATAAATAAATAAAAAGTACAATTAACAATTTATATTATTAAAAAAAAAGTGAGCCGTGTGTAATGGGACAAATTTTATAGTGTTTATAATAATCAACAAGTGATTGATTCAATTTATTAATATTTATTATTATCGACGAAAAGTTTTTTAATTTGAATCATATCAATAATCATTTGTTGAAGTTATTTCGAATGTACGACTTGTAATCACTTATTTTAAATTGTTAAGTACAACATATATAATTTTAACTTGAAAAATTAAACAATTTATCTACCGTCAAATTTCTTCTTATAATACATATGGAAACCATCTTAGTTAACATAATTGTTTCCGCAATTATCGCATCCTGTTGTCCAAAAGAGTTTAACAATTGATATTGTTTCCCTGAATCACCGGTTTCAAGTTTCAAACTTTGAGAAAACAAATTGATATCGTTTCCCCAAATCACGTGACCTTTCCAACATAATGTCCAAACCAAAAGGGCATAGAAGAAGTGAAGTTTTAATTCATTCATTAATTAATAGTTACCATTCGAATTACAGGGGATTTCCATGATTCCTTTTAACTTAACCACTCATTCATTAATTAATCAATAATCAAATTCAAATGTTGAGAATCAACACAAATTATTTGACCTAGGAATTATACATGCAAATGATGCATGTTTTTGTGATTTTGCAGATGGATGTGAGAATTGAAATCATAATTCACATTGAAAACGTTAAAGTGACGAAGTAATAAATGTGAGGTACGATTGAACCGCACAAAATTTATGTTGAAGTTACGACAAACTTTGGCTGGTCAGCAGTATGGGCATCACTAATGAAAGCAACCACTTCCAATTCCCTAATCTTTGAATCACATTTATTGAATGAAAAGGGATGGATCACCATATTCCAACCACACTTCTCTTTTCATTTTGGAAAGATAAGAATAGGCTATCCATTATTTGGATATCAAAAGTTGTTATTTTTTCAGTTTTATAAAATATTATATTTATATAACCAGTTGAATAAAATAATTAAATTCATAAACAGTAAATTTTAAATTTATTTTTTTAATTATTAAATCAAAATTTCATTAACACTAATTCAATTTTAGAACATTCAGCTCCTCTCTATTTTTCAAATAATAACATTTATATAATTATAAAATATTTAAAATGTTGCATTTATTAGTATAAGATTCTCTTTCCCTTTTGTAATTAGCATGGACCTCTAAAAATGGTAAGTAATTTATGAACAAAAAGAAAGTTCATTACTTTATTTTTAGATTTTTTTTTTTTTTTAAATCAAGCAACTACAAATCTTGAAATTCAAAATCAGTCTGATCCAAATCAAAGCAAAGCTTTCTGGTCCTCTGCCGACGGTGGCAGGCCATATATTAATCACAAAAGCCACGCGACTTCCTTTCTTAATCAACTCCATAAAAGTTCCTTAATCCGAAAACTCCAATATTAATCACATCAGCCACAGCCAACTTCATTAACAAGAAGGCAAATTCCACACCGCTCATTCCAATCCATTTTCGTTTTTCAATATTGGGCCCCTCCAAGTGGCACCATCAATTCAAATATTTCATCAAAATTCCACATTTCTGAAACAACCCCCCGTTCACACACCAGAGAGGGAATTCCCAAAGGTATATTACGAAAATAAATACAACTAAAATGGGTATAATAAATGAAAAAGATAACACTTGCCATAAAATCAAAACCCCACGTTAGCTATAAGCAGAATCTGAATTACTCTTTGGCTTTCGCTACTATTTGTGGTGTAATTTCTGAACCTACAGCTACTAAATATTACTACGACGTTTTATACAGCTAGGATTTCCTTTTCCAGTGAGTGAGCGGCAGCCATATAGGCAGGTAGAGAGAAAGGCAAAACAGAGAGAAGGCTAGAGGCGATTATTAGGGGACACCCCACACGATCTGTGAGGGGAAAAAGAAAAATTTTAGTAGTACCCACAAGGGGAGAAGGGAATCAATCATGCCATCAGGTGCTAAGAAGAGAAAAGCTGCCAAGAAAAAGAAGGAACAAGCAGCCAACACAATCAATTCATCAACTAACAACAGCCCATGTGGTACTTTGCTTTGCTTTTTCTTTAAATTTTTGTTTTGGGTTTTGTTTTTTGATTGATTTGGAAAAATGGGTTCTTTTTTTTTTTTTTAAATTTTATTGATAGGTTCTTTTATTTAATCTTCCTTCGTTATCCATCTGTCTGTGTCATTCGGTTCTTTAGTTACTGTGTTGGAGATTTATAGTTAAAGAAATCAGCTTGCTTGCTTTTAATGTTTAACAGCTAATATTATTTTTCTAGTTCATGCCCTTGATTAATTGATTTGGTTTCTTTTCATTGGGATTATCGTCCTTTAATCACTTACTGTGTACTTTTTGCTTTTTTTTTTCTTTTAAAGATTTTCCAATATATTTGTTTTAGGGTCTTGTGGCGATTTTTATCGTGTCCTGTCTTTTACTTGATTTTGACTAGAATTCTTGTTATTGAAAAAACTTGTCTAACCAATTTCAAGTTATAGTGCGGTACTGTTTCGTATTTCTCTTGGTTTTAGTTTTAATGTTTTCATCGAAATTGATTGAAAATCATTTTACTTAATCAATTTAGAGTTCTGTCACTCAGTTTTTTATAGTGTTTATTTTGGCCGTTTCTAGAGGGGATTGGTAAATTTGTTGTTTGCATAGCGTTTGGTACTATTGTGATTTTATCAAATGGTGCTAGGAAATGATGATCCGAAAAGCCAAGATGAAAGGGACAGTGATAGTGGCGATGTTGGTTCCTCTACATCTCAGGATGACCACAATCACCAGCATCCATTCAGTCAGGAGGAAGAAGAAGGGAAAAGAGCACCATCACCTGTTCAATCGCATGTAACTGAGGAGAAGTCTGTGGAAGAAGCCACTAGAGATGCAGAAAGCATCGAGAAATCAGGATTGAATGATGTTGATGTTAAAATTGAAAAGGAGTGGGAACCTAAGGAGGATCTTGAGAGTACACATGTTCCTATTCAGCATGTTGAGCATGATAAGAGCTCTAGCAGCAGCAGTAGTTCGGGTGATGAATCTCAAGCGCTTCAGAAGAAGTCAAAGGAAGAAGCCTGTAATCTTGGTTCTGAAGTGGTCTTACTTAATAATGAGGATAAGTCGGCTACTATTATGTCTGAAGAAGTTCAGAAGGTTGTTGAAAATGAAACACTTGGGGATGTTGATAGAAATTATGCAGAGGAGACTGTTGCTGTTGGCAATTTGGTAAAAACTGTGTTATCTGTGCCAGAGGAAGTTGATTATGCTACAGAAATTCCTGCAAACAAATCAGTAGCTGATGTAGTTGAGTCAAGGTTGAAGGATAGTGAAGAGAAATCATTGCCCTCATCAAATGGGATTTCTAGGGTTGCATTGGCAGGAAATGAAGGAAAATTTTTCCCAGCCTCGGGTATTCCTACTGCTGAAATTAGTAATGTTGCTGAAATAAACCAAGAATCTAGGCCCCATGATTATTCTATTCAGCAAAATCCAGAGGAAGTCAATTATGCTACAGAAATTTCTGCAAACAAATCAGTAGCTGATGTTGTTGAATCAGGGTTGAAGGAAAGTGAAGAGAAATTGTTGCCCTCATCAAATGGGATATATAGGGTTGAATTGGAAGGAAATGAAGGAAAAATTTACCCATCCTCAGATACTCTTGCTGCTGAAACTAGTAACATTGCAGAAACAAACCAAGAATCTTGGTCCCATGATTTTTCTAAAAAGCAGGTATATCTTGCCCCTATTATTTTCTATCAGTTGTGGGTTTGAATATTCCTTATTTAATTTGATTGAAAAGTGATTTCTTGTCATTTGCTGCATTGATTCACAGCCTCCTGTTGCTCCGACTCCACCAGTGGTGCAAAGAACCTCATTGTTAAGTTGCTGTGGATTGTTTGATGTTTTTACTGGGTCTGGTAGATAATTGCAGGTGCGGGTTATCCATCAAGTTAAAAAAAGCTATATTACACTTTCCTTTATTGTTTGCAGTATTGCATATTGATATATACTTAGTAGCTCATATCCTGTGTGCTTATGTGGGTGTATGAGAATGCCAGGGCTATGAAACTGCAACTTGAAATCTGGAACATATTGCTTGTCATTTGATTGTTTGTCAGTTATCTGGTATTCTGTTGCCATCTGCAATGGCCTTGCTTTTTCTTTCTTTCCTTATGGCTCGATTGCTTAAACTAATCACCAATGGTTCCTGGTTGATCCTGATATGCTGGATGAACGATGAGAATGATGAAAGACCTATTGGGGGCCTGAAAAATTGCAACTGGGAGCACCACATTTTATAATATTATTTTGGCTATGTCTTTAATTTTCTTGGTAGTTGATTTTGTTTTGTTTTTTCACCTGCCCCAATTTCCAAGGTTGAAACATGATATTTCCGAATTGAAAGTTCCAAATTCTAAACATTGCAATGTCCTTTTGGGGATAGTCTTCCAATTTCATGTGTCTGATTATTTATTGGTATTTTTTTTTCACATCTTTATTTAGTGGGCAATTGTGTAGAAAGCAGTCATCTGTGAAAAATATCCTGATCAATTTTATACTAACATCAATATATGTCACTCCAAAAAATCAATATACGGTGACCCCCCCCCCCCCACCTTACATAATTAACCATAAAATTGCTTCACAGTTGATATGTTCTATGGTTTCTTTTTAATGCAGAACCATCTACTCTGGGGATTTGGAAGACATGGCAGTTCGACAAAGTCACTAAGGATTTGGTTTCTTGATGTCTATTCTATTTCAAGTTCTCAATGTTTTTTCCTAAAGAATAATGGACAACAGAGCTAGCTAGAAAAACAGTTATAAGTTTTGTGGTGGTGATAGTGCTGATGCTGATAGTAGCTAGTCGTTCGGAGCCACAAATACATTCTTTTATTGGCACTTTTGCGGTGTAGTTTCTTATCTAGTTTTGTCTTGTATCTAGTTCTTGTTTTGGTTTGAGTGGAGTAGTTTCCTTAAAGTATACAAGGTTTATGAGAGTAATTTCAACATGGTTGCTATTGTTGGTGTTTATTATCATGAATTTTGATAATCTCTGTTCGTTTGAGCAAATTTATGGTTTTGTTTTTCTTAGGTAAGACCATAAGAGAGTCTAATGCTACTCTGTGGTCATGGATTATTCATGATTGAAGATTTTCTCCTTGAACTTTTCATTGGTGGTCCAATACGTAAGCATGGTAGATCTTTATTTATATTTAAGAAACAGCTTTCTGCTGCTTCAAGGACAGAATTGTTCTTATGTATGCTACCATTGGTTAAGCTATGCAGCAGGAATAGAAAGAAGAATATTGGAACAAATTTCGTTGATTTTTTTTAGATGGTTCAATGCACAGGTGATATGGTCGTAAATGTTTTGGCAAATTGTTTTGTGTTTTATTTTACATCGGTGAAGTAGATAACTTTTCTGGCTTTTTTGGGTCAACATGAAACGTTAAAGAAGCTTTTGGATGGACGAAACCTGGTCATTGCACCAGAAATTTCAAACTAAACTGTTTATTACAGGTTCATAAACAAATCCAATAGTATCACACCACAACCAGATGCAGCCGTTTTCCGGCCTGTCTGTACATCTCAAGAATCAAAGGAATACAAAGAGAAAATTTCTTGGTGGTAAAAGATATAAAATGAACTCACGTCAAGTAGCATTAACCAATTAACCATTAACCATTATTTTCAAGCTAATCATTTATGCACCGCCGTGAATTGCTGCTATGTAGAAAAGTTGTGTCACTGTAAGTATGATCGAAAATGCCTCCATTGTTCTCTGCAAAAGAGGAGATTTCTTATGTTAACCAACAGATTTATATATAATAATTGCAATTTCGTTGAAGGAATAAGCCGACACCAACTAGTTGAAGAGCTAGTTGAATTGAGTATTGGATGAACGCTGAATTTCATTCTTACCAGACGAGCATTCCTGATTTCAAGCTCAATTTCTTTGCAGGCAAATCTGTGAAAGAAAATTTTCTAGTTAGTTTAGAAACAAAGCATTTTAAAGGGCTTGGCATCTTTCAACTTTAGATTGTATATCCAAGCTAGTGCTTCAAGATGCCAGAGTTAGAGGCTGACCCCATGGCAAGTACAGTAAGGGTCCAAGCAATGCCTGCAATCGAAGCTGCTGATGGCAAGCTACTGGCATTCCACGAACGGATATGGTTGAGACCTGCAATTGCTGATGCTACACCAACAACTCCTGCTAGCATAGCAAATGTCACGAAGAATCCGGTGGCAGCATTTCCCATGGGGAAGTTAATGGGTGAGAAATGCGCTGGAAGCTCGAAGCCAGGTCCTGCAGGTTTCACATAGAGAAACCAGCTTAACTCTAACGAGAACATTATATTATAATTATTTTACTTAGGATTAAGGGGGGATTACTCCTTCACTAATTGTTTGACAGAGAGGCAAAGACGGGATGGTGACTTACCAATGATAAAACCATGATCAATTGCTTTATTCACGGACCATCCACCAATGCCCAAAATAATGACATACATGCAGAAATTGAGGAACAAAAGCAGTGCAGCAACAGGTTTCATCTGATCGTTGGCCATTGCCTCCTACTACCTATAATTTTAAGATGAAAAGCTGTAGAAAAAAGAAAGAGGATGACGAGTTTTCAGGACTCTAAAAGGTGTAATACAGGAAAGATTATCACAGGTACATGTGATTTCTGACTATTGGAGGCTAATATATAGGACATCAAATGAAGGGTTTGGTTCTTTACTTGCAAAGGCTGCAGTTTCCAAAGGGTTCTATTGGGTTGTAAAGAGCATGCTTCATGTTCAAGGCAAGCCGTCAAAAAAACAGATTCTTGCTTGTTCCTCTTTTTCAGCTATTCTTTTGAAAATGGTGCATTCTTGAAATAGGCTTTCAGAAGTTGTTCCTCGGAGGAAAAGTCACATTCTGACATTCTTTGCCGCTTGATGGGGGGCTGATTGGATGTTTGTCAGGAGCCATTTCAGCCCATTGTGTCATCTGCCACATGGAAAGTAAGTGTCTATACCTAGAGCCTAGACCCAAAAATTTTGGGCCAAAAGCTTTCTCTTTAAGATTAAATGTCTAGGGTATACAGGGAAGTACGTCAGATTTTTTTCTTAAATGTGGGTTGAAGTGGGAGTCGGGTTCATCTCATAGGTATATATAAAAAATAAAATTTTATTATTTATATTATATTAATAAAATTATTATTTAATATTTTAATTTAAAATATTAACTTAACAAAAATATTATATTTATGTATAATTAAAATAAAATTAATATTAAAAATATTATTTCTTAAATATCATATTAAATTAAAATAATTAAATTAATTTCAAAATGAATGCATTGTAATTTATTGAATACACAAATTCGATCGAATCAAATATTAAAAAACTAATATTTTGATATTTTGATGTGAGTTAGAATCAAATTGAACAAAAACTCATCCAACTAATTATCATCTCTAATCGTATATGTGATTTTTTAAATCCCTATTCTATCCTGATCTCACTAACTACAACACTTACCTTAGCTGCGGAGGGGATTACAACTCGAACTCGGACAATCCTCCAAATGCCGAACACCCTCAGGCCGCTAACCCAAATGCTAATGGGCACCGTACACAAAATTTCATTTCTTTAAATATGGGGGTGATAATTTTTTTTTTCCACAACTATCTCTGCATAGCTAATTTTTTGTATTTGATACTTTTAGAATTTGATTTTTAATATTAAAATTAAAATTTTAATATTTTATTAACAGATTATATATTTATTCACATAATTTATTTTACTAAGCACAAAAAAGTTTTAAAAAGAAAAAAAAATAAGAAAAAACCAACGTTAACAAAAATTTTTAACAAATAAAATAACATGGAACCGCATGTACGATGCGTTTCATTGACTATCAAGGCAACATCGATTGCCGTTTGTATCTCTTTGGAAGTAGCTTTGTTCATCCTTTTTATTATCTGTTATGAACAGAAGCAATGTCGAAATCTCGGGCGCGTTTTTTCAAAAAACCAAATATTCAAAGACCCTTTTTGCTATCTCATTCTTCCTTCCCTTTTCTTCGACAAATGTTAAAAGATTCTCGCAATCTTTCACTACAATTTCTAGTAACCCAAAATCACGCACCCCCAGTTATAAGTTTTTACTCTCCAATCACCTGAAGAGCCAAAGATTAGAGGAAGCTCGGGAGGTTTTAAACAAAATCCCATTCCCTGGGGTGCATTTATACACCGTGATGGTTGATGGGTATGCGCAAAATTATCGGCTTGATGATGCTATGGAACTGTTCGAGAAAATGCCGGTTAGAGATACCGTTTCTTGGAATTCAATGATTAAAGGGTGTTTGCATTGTGGGGATTTAGTTATGGCTAAGAAGCTTTTCGATGAGATGCCAGGGCGGAATGTTGTTTCTTGGACGACAATGGTAAATGGGTACTTGCAGTTTGGGAAAGTCGAGGTGGCTGAAAGGTTGTTTTTTGAGATGCCTGTGAGGGATGTCGCAGCTTGGAATTCGATGATTTATGGGTATTTGAAGTTAGGGAGGGTTGAGGAGGCGGCGAGTTTGTTTAGGAAGATGCCTTCTAGGAATGTGATTTCATGGACTTCAATGATTGGTGGGCTGGATTATAATGGAAGGAGTGATGAAGCTTTGGTTTTATTCAAGAAGATGATAGGTTCTGGTGTTGAGCTGAGTTCAAACACGTTTTCTTGTGTGTTGATGGCTTGTGCAAATGTGATGGCTTTGCATTTGGGTGTTCAAACTCATGGTCAAATTGTTAAGTTGGGTTTCCGTTTTGATGACTTTATATGCGCTTCGCTTTTAACATTTTACGCAAACTGCAAGGAAATGGAAAATGCTTGCAAGGTTTTCAATGAGAAATTGCATGGAAATGTGGTAATATGGACAGCTCTTTTAACTGGGTATGGCCTGAATCATAGGCATGAATCTGCATTGATGGTTTTTGAAGACATGATAAGAATGGGTGTCCTCCCAAATCAATCTTCTTTCACAAGTGCTTTGAATTCATGCAGTGGATTAGAGGCTCTAGACAGGGGTAAAGAGATCCATGCTGTAGCTGTCAAGCTAGGTCTGGAAGCTGATGTATTTGTTGGTAATTCCCTAATTGTTATGTATACTGTATGTGGGAATATTAATGATGCTATAGCTGCATTTAATAATATTGGTGAAAAGAATGTTGTATCGTGGAACTCAATAATTGTTGGATGTGCGCAGCATGGTAATGGCATGTGGACTCTGACACTCTTTAGCCGAATGATACGTGCTGAAGTAGATCCAGATGAGATAACATTCACTGGGTTGCTCTCTGCTTTCAGCCATTCTGGAATGTTGCAAAAGGGAAGATGCTTTTTTGAGTATATTAGTCGATATAAATCCTCTTCAATGAAGCTTCAGCACTATGTTTGCATGGTTGATATCTTAGGTAGATCTGGGAAATTGGAAGAAGCAGAGGAGCTAATTAAAAATATGCAGGTGAAAGCAAATTCGACAGTATGGCTAGCTTTGCTTAGTGCTTGTAGGATGCATTCTAATTTAGAGGTAGCTGAAAGAGCTGCAAAATTCATTCTTGATCTAGAATCACATTGCAGTGCTCCTTATGTTTTATTGTCTAATTTATATGCTTCTGCCGGTAAATGGGGTGATGTCTCGAGAATGAGAGTACAGATGAAACAGAGAGGAATTGTGAAAAAACCAGGTTGCAGTTGGGTTACTTTGAGGGGATTGCGACATGAGTTTGTTTCTGGAGATAGGTCTCACCCTCTCAGTGAAAAAATATATCAAAAGCTGAATTGGTTGGGAGGAAAACTGAAGGAGTTTGGCTATGTTCCGGATGAGAGGTTTGCCCTACATGATGTCGAGAATGAGCAGAAGCAAGAGATGTTGTCTTATCATAGCGAGAGGCTTGCCATTGCTTTTGGGTTGGTGACCACTGCAGAGGGCAGAGCAATAACAGTGATGAAAAATCTTCGTGTATGTGGCGATTGCCATAGTGCCATTAAGCTCATAGCAAAGATTGTAGGGCGTGAGATCATTGTAAGAGATTCTACACGCTTTCATCACTTCCGAAATGGCATGTGCTCTTGTGGGGATTATTGGTAGCAAAGATTCAGGGTTTTCTTGAGACCTTTGATCACATGGAAAAGATGCTAATAGCAGTGGTTTGCTTGTTAAGTGTCAAAGTATATCAATTAAGGGATAACTGAAGCTAAAGATTTTATTAGTTTTAGATAATCAATATTATATTTGTTTTTCATATATTGGAAACAATGAAAGAAAAATAAGAAAAATTTTAAGCCAATCAAAATTTGCCAAGTACTAAAGTTGACCCCGAAATCTCCTCGTTTCCCTTGCATTAGGGCGCGAAAATATTTTCCCTCTTCTCTCCCAACGGAAATCTCTCCCTTTCTTGTAACCATCAGTCGCGTTAAGGCTTTCGTTAGCTTCTTTAAATTGAGGCTATTTTCTTTCTATTCAGTCTAAGAATCAGTAAAATCAATCCAAAAATCCATCTCTGAAGAGAAAGAACTTGAATTGATTTCCTTTTTTTTCACTTCTTTGGGTGATCTATTCTGTCAATCTAATGGGAAGCTCTGTTATCAACGTCCCATCGTCGTCGTCATCATCATCATCATCATCACCATCAGCGCGCATCCATCAGACGCCGGAGAACGAAGGCGAGGATTGCGATGGTCTAGAGGTCGAAACCGAAATTTCAGATCTGAATCGATCATGCCAGGGCCTAGGGCACGAGGTATCTCGATTAATCCTTGACAATGTAGAAAAAAACAAGAAATTCATGTCTTTAAAACGTAGGATTGAAGAATTTAACCAAGGTGAAAATCAATTAAATCTTGAAATTGAACAACTTGAACGGAAAGTTCTAATGTTAATGACTGAAAAAGGGTTAAAAGATGATAATTTGGAGAAATTTGCGGAAGAGAAAGAGATTGAAGGATGTGAGATTTTGAAAGAAATGAAATTGGAACAAAAATTTTCGAATTTAATGCTTGAAAGAGGGGAAAGTAATAATAAATTTAAGGATTTGGGGATTGGAATTGAAGAAACCAAGAAATGCGAAAAAGGTGATGTTTTTAATGAGTTAGGAACTGATCTTGCTACGCAGGAAGTGAATCTAAGTCAATTAGTTTCTGATAAGAAAGAACTTGCGGAGAAGTTTGAAAAGATGGGGAATGTGGTCGATGAGGTTGTGAATGTGAGTGATGATGATGAGGAGGAGGAGGAGGGGGAGGAAGAGATTGGGGAGATTGGAGCTCGTGAATTGTGTAAAGAAATCGAGCTCTTGGAGGCAATGTTGGAGAGGGGAAGTTTTGGTCTGCTTGATATGCAGATGATGATGGAAGAAGTTGAGGCCTTGAAGGGGCCGGAGAAGATGATGAATGAGATGGAGGTGAAGATGGGAAAGTTGGAGTCTGGGTTGTGGGAGCTTAAGAGTGCTATTTTGGAGTTGAAGGGCAAGAAGAGCAAGGAATTGATGGATTGGGTTAAAAAAGAGGAAGAGAAGAAATTGGAGTGTGATGGACAGGAAGAGGTGAATGCAAGGAAGCCCAATTGGGGTTCAATTATTGCCTCAATTGGAGCTGTTGTTGTAGCTGTTGCCGCTGTAGTTTTCATGGGACGCACCAGGATGGTGATTAAAGCCAAGAAGGGGAACAAGCGCGAAACTGGTTAGGGTCTCTCTCTTAATATGAATCTGTGCTATTTATCATGATAAGCTTCCTTTGTACTGATTAGAGAGCTAAGCGTGCATTATGCTGATTAATGTAGGAGTGAATTAGGTTGTAAATCTAAGTTACCTTTTTGTAAATAGTTTTAGCTTTAGTCATTTCATCTTTATGGTTTATGGATCCCTGTATTTGAGAAAATAGTGATGAAGGCAATGTTTTTGCAATTACGTTTATCGATTAGTAGGTATTAAAATTTGTTTCAGGATCATTGCTATTTGTTATCATGCATTTAAGAGCATAAAAATCTTTGATTTCAATAATTTCCTCACAATTATGAAAGTGAATTTTATTGCTTTCTTGAGAAAAACTTGCACAAAAAAACCCAAATAAACTATAACAAATTTGACGTCAAATACTTTTTCCAAAGTCAATAGAAAATTATTGGCAAAGTGGCTCATAACTATTCTATGACATACTTGTAGCTATGTGGCATTACTTATTGACAATTAGGTACAGCAGGGACATAAATATTATCGAAATTTGTTTTCGATATTCCTGAAATAGCCACGGCCATTACATATTTGTGTTGATTATGTTCAAATCAAAAACGGATAGACACCATGAAAGATAAATTAAAATACTTTCAGCTCCCAAGACAAGGAACTCATATCAAGAATGTTCTACACCAATTAAACCCATATGATTAGTTAGCAGGTTTTGCTTAAATACAAGGGGATTTTAACTCGCTGTTAATTATGGTAGTTTTATTTACCTTGTCTTAATACTTCTACGTTAGTAATGTCAACTTTCATTTATTGTTGTTTGCAATTTTGATATTGAAATTTTTTTAGTTACAATCATAATTAAATAATAAATATTACATTTAATATAATCTATTATATAATAATTAAATTAAAATTATTAAATAATAAATTAACAAATTAAAATATAATTAAATAATCAACCGCACTATGTGAAATATTGAAGACTTCAAAGATTTTAAAGCTCCCCCTCACCACCTAACCAATACCTTATTCTTTTAAAAATACAATGCAACTTTTTAATTGGTAATTATAACTCCAAAACCGAATTTGTATCGTCTGTTATGAAATTAGCGTTGGATTGTTCAGTAGGGTCGCATGATGGAAGGAACAATATGGTGGATGCTGCGACCGCGCTCAAAAAGATTTAATAAAAAAGTTACATAAAAAATGTCGGAAGAAAGTCAGATGAGTAAACCAAGTTCAAATAAGGCAAGATTTCGTTGCTCTTTCCTTAACTAGACAATTTGTTACTAGGAAATGAAGGATCCTTGAAACGCACTAGAACAAAGTAGAATCAAGGGAGTTGAAGGCAATGTAATGCAATCCAAATAGTCCACTACCACTTTCTATGTAATCCACCTGCTAGAACTGTAGCCATCAGTGTTCAATAGGAAAGGCAATGATAAATTAATTGAACAATCCTCAATCATGCATCTAAAATAAATTCGGAATTCATAAACATTTTCTAGCTTACTTACCCACCCTCATAGGCCGAATAACAAGAATGCAATTGTACAAACTAACAGCCCTAAGGGATACTATTCGAGCACATTGCAAGCTCACTATATACTTGGAAAATATTTTTATAAATAGAGAATATCTTTAGACATAATAGCCATTGTAATGTTAATTCACTAAATAGAACAAAAATCACGGTTGAGAATGTGATTGCCATCTAAAACAACAAAATTATCCAAAATTTATAAAAATGCTAAACAAACAAAGATCATTACTTAACCAGTACAAGCGTCTGTTCATTCATCCTCCTGGCTGCGCAACCTGGCAAGCTTGTTAGTAACGACAACATCCAGCTGTGCAGCTCGTTCCACAATCTCTTTTCTCTTCTTTGTGGAGACATCATGGGCAATCTCCGCACAGTATGTCCTGTGAAGCAACACAAAACAAATTAAGAACACAAACATAAATTCCATAAATAGGCAATGATTAATCACTCATTTTGGGAAGTTAACAGTACCTGTTGTGCATCATCAACAGTTCAAGCTCTCCGACATTGTGCACAACAAATTTCTTAAAGCCATTTGGAAGATAGTGACGAGTCTTCTTGTCTGAACCATAGCCAATATTGGGCATCAAAGTGCATCCCTTGAACTTTCTTCTTACGCGAGAATCAATACCCTTTGGCCTACGCCAGTTTGTCTGTCACAAGTAAAATAGCAAACATGACAAGTCAGACAAGTTTCATAATTCAAAATTAACACAAACTGACAAGAACGGAAAAGCCAACTAAAGGGTTAAAAGAAGACATAAAAGCAGATCAATGTGACCAGGTATTTAGTAACAGAAAGCTTGCAGAGAAAAAAGCTAACTGTGTCGCAAGACCTGTTCAAAATTTTGTATCTGCCCTTAAAACGAAATGCCCAGCTACAAAAACATAAAAACTGGACATCAGATACCACGGGCAAGAATCTTACAAAGAAATATCTCCCAAGAGGCAAAATACAAAATGAAATTAAAACTTAAAATATATTTAACAAGTGTCTAATATTTTTGGATAAAGAACTGCGATCTCAGCCGAAAGATGGTGATTATTTATAAAATCATCATAGATAGATCAGGTCTGATGATTCATTTCCATCACAGATTGCAGCAAATAACAGAAAAAACAATACAAAAACAATTAAATCAATTAAAAACTGACCTCAATTTTGAAAAAAAAAAATGCAAATGGGATCAGATGGTAGTGCATGTTGGTATTCATCATTCAAATGCAGAAATAATGGATAAATATCATCACACCTCCTTGCATATTAAATAGAACCAACACTTAAAAGAAAAAGAAACATAAAACTACAATAAAGGAATTGGTTATTTCGTAAAAATGGATCAGATATAAAGTCGATTGCATCACCATCTTCTATCAAGTAATGAAAGTAAGACTGGGTGTCAAACAACAATCATCATATCCATTCCTTTTTTATGCAAAATAAAATATTAAAGATAATCAGGACAAATATATGAAGAGAAAAAAACAAGACCCTTCGTTATAAATGGATTAGATAGTCGATCGCTACTGAAACAGCCTATTGAAACTCAGACTGGGTGTCAAGATCTATCTTCATATCCACATTCAATCAAATTCAGTTGAACCCAAAAAAACAATTTTTTTTTAAAGTTTTTTTAACAAATTTCTATAAGAAAATAAAGGTAGCTAGAATGAAATAAATAGGTGGAATCAGATAAAAATGTCAATCACCAACTTTGCATATGAAGACATTAAATTTATGCAAAGTAAGACTGGGGCGACAATAATTATCATCATTTTCCCTTTTTTTCCAAAAAAAAAAATCCAAATAAGAGGCTGAAAAAGAAAAAAAATCACAACTTGAATGGAAATAAAAAAATTCAATAAACCTTGACGGAGATTTTGCGGTCACTTTGGGGTCTCTTGAACTTCTTGACCCTCTTCTTCACGATCTTCTTACTTAGAAGCGGCACCGCCATTTCTTCTTTTCCTTCTTCTTACCTCCTTTACCATTATCAAAGACACAAAGAAAAAACACGTTATTCAAGTTAATGAAATAGCATTGATACAAGAGATCTGAAGAACTAAAAAAACGGAGAGATGTTTACTGGGAAATTAGGGTTTTGGGTTGGCCGCCCCGGATTTTGCTGCAATGGAGTTGCGGCAGATTATATAGAGGTATGGAGATTGAAGGCATTTTAGTTTTTTAGGGTTTCATTCATTTTTAGGGTTGGTTGGAGAGATTAGTCTAAATCAACGGTGGACAGTAGTCGTCTCCTTTGCTCTTTTTTTATTGGTGGATTTTGGTCTGTGGACCATTCGTTTAATTTTATAATTGGGCCCTTGGCTTTCCTTTTTCCATCGTCGGCCTCCGTTGGCGTTGACCCAATTTTTTCTTTTTTTCATTTTTTGGATAATTGGTGCAAAGTTACAGGTACATTTATGGACTCAATTATCAGTGAAAATGAAAGCTCTCTTACGGACAAAAAGCAATACCTAAATGAAAGTTAGGATTAAATATCCTCTTAAATTCTTGAAAAAATAAAATGACTTTCAATAGAAATTTCAGTTTCAATGTACTAAAAAATTTCATTTTTTAATTACTTGTTAAGATGCATAAAAAATAATTTCAATCACAATTTTGGGATTGGAATTTATTTTTATACATTTCTAATAACCAGTTCAGCCATTCCAATACACAAATTCCAATCCATTTCTAATATTTGTAATCTATTCTGTTATTTCCATAACACAAATTCTGTCCAAAGAACATGCATTCAGGCAACTGAAAATTGTAGAATAGAACTCGTAGGAGTTGGGAGAGGAAGGATCAACATTGACCCACTTTTTCTCAACTAGCTCCACATGTGAATTTGGCTTTGCAATTGCATAGAACTGAAGTTTATTCATCTTTCTTGTCAACTTCTTCATTAAATCCATCGAGAATATCATTCCAAACCCTCCCTCCATAACCTCTGTATCGTCAAAAATTTGAACGCCAATATCTGCTTCCATTGCGTTAACGAATCCAAGGAGCAGTGAGCTCCCACCGATATATCTTTCACCGTGGCATACCTGCAGGAAGCAAGTCATGGAAACATGAATCAACAGAAGGTACATTACCAAAGAGAACATTCAAGACAAGACTGTGAAGCAGATGAGCTTTGTTTTATATATGAATTATTGTTCAATAACTTGCATGGCGGGATGCACGGATTCAAGTGCTGATGCAGAAAGACACAACTTGCTTCCAAATTCCTGAGTTAAGCATGAATGCATAATTGATGGGCAGAAAATTCTTGTTAAGAGTTTAACACAAACACATATTCATGCACACAGAAGAACTTTTGATTAAGCGATCATAGAACCTTTTTTTTTTTAGGCAAACTCATAGAACCATATTTATGAACTAAGATTCTCACCCCCTACCCGTGTGGGATGTGAAGCACGACCTTGCCCAGCTATAATTTGGAGTTTATTTCTCAAAAGAACATAATAGTTTGGGTATCTTTTGTCCACACGAGATTGAAACGTAAGATATGTTTCACTTATATATCAACTTCACTACATCAGTGAATGATAATAGACAACAGCATAGTCCAAGGCCAGAAAGCCTGCCTTTGGACTTCGATTCAAGAGTCTCTTATCATTCTTTTGGACCATTTGCAGCAAAATAGAGAAAAGCATAATAAATCATTTTAAAGTATTGACCCGCTATCTACATGGAAAACAGACTGATATGAGATTGAACATGACTGGTTTAAACTATAATTAAGCTTCTAACCTGAACATACTCCACACCAATTTGGGCAAGATTCTCCACAATACTGTTTGAGGAAAGCAAGCTAATGACTCCGCCAGATCCAACTGGTGATTGCAATATCTCCCATGGTGATTTCATCAAAATCTTATGCCTGTTCTGTTCTAGTAAACTGCTAACAACTGGCAGCCTCTCTTCTTTCAAGAACCAAACCTGTACTTGGTTGGATGGTAAAAGATGATAGTGTACACAGAATTGTCACACACATTGGATAACAGTAGTTTATTTTCAATTCATACACATTAAAATAAACCAGATTTCATGCATGACTGCTACGACTAGTCAGTGGATTCCTAAAATTATGGATTTTATCATGGAGGATTTCCAGTCCTCAAGAATCCACATGGAAAACTCTTAGTGGAACATGAAGCAATAGCCAAGGGAAGCCATGCCTTTTGAAAGAATAAAATTTCAATTCTAAAAAATCAGTGAAGTAGAGTTGAAGCTTGAAATTCACCCAGGAAACAGTGGGATGACCAAAACTAATTGTCTGTAATTGTTTAAGAGAAGTTGGAATTGATGAGCAATACTAAATGTAGAAACATATGGTGCCTTAGGAGATTTCATTTATTGAAGATCAGACCTTGATTCCTGAAGTAGAAAGCATAACTCTTTCTCCAAAAAGTATGTCATATAATCTAACAGGCAGACATAGTTCTAATTTCCTGACACTCAGGATGTGGAAAACAAAGAAAAAGAATAGTTTGAAAACCATTGCTATTCATGCCAATTCGTGATAGCAAAACTTTTGAAATGTAATGAACATTACACATATCTTTAGTTGGCTGCTTGTGTTTTAGCCTTCTAGGTCATCCAAAGATTACTACCCAGTAAAAAAAAGTCACAAGCTATTCCATAACGATAACACTGACCTTTTCTGGGTCAAATCCAAAATAATTGTTACTTGCAAATAGCTTCTCCATAGAATTGATTTCATCAGCTGGGCAAATCAAAACCAATGGCACAAATAAACGATTTTCTACCTGCAAGCAACAAGCAAATGTTTTTATTTTCAAATTGGAGCTTTGGTATGATTCAAATCTTTAAAAACATAATATTGCACAAAACAATGAGCCTGTTAAGCTTATAAATAAAAAATTTTCATTTGCATGAATCAGTGACGCAACTGACAAACTAGGAAAAAGTTCTAGGTACCACCTTGACAAACCTCTCATCATCACAAAGCAACGTCTGAAGGGAGGATGTTTCTGAATTATCCATGCTCATTGAGAAAGCAAGACCAGAGTCATATTCTTTTCCCTGGTTCCTATGGTCACTCATATCTAAAACAGCTGCAACTTTTCCCTTAGAAACGAGATGGAGTGCCTTTTCCTGCAAAGTGATATTTGCCCCCAAATTCTCTTCACTTGTATGTGGAGTAAAGCATTTTTCTGATATCCTCAATCTATTTCTCACCAGCTTAGTTCCAGTGAGTGATTCAGTTATACTCCATCTGGTTCAAGAAGTAATGCAGAAGCAAAAATTTAGTAAGTTGGGCACCATCGTAGATCTCCCTCACCACTTATACGCTACAGACGAGGGCCTTCTGATCATAGGTGGAGTTTAAGATGAAATGAACTGATTTCTTATCCACCCTATATGAAGGTAATAGAACATACGATCAATTGATTCAACAATTAAGCAGACGTTTGATGGGTGTAAAGTGAGAAAAAATCAATCAATGTTATTGAAAGGTTATTGATAAGTGAACCAGGGCCCAAAAAGTTAATATATTCAACTATTTATTGCATAAGACAAGAACTAGACATGTATAGAACAAAAATATCTTCCAGGCTGAACCATAACTAGGCTTGCATCCTCAATCGCTATCAAATATTATTATCTATACATAGATAAAAATGTCACCTCTTTGAGGCTATCTCGATATCCTGCAATGCCTGCTGAAGCAATTTTGAATTAACACTGACAATCTGATCTGCAAGTAAGCTCTTTTGGGACTTCCCTCCATATCTAAACCCATGAAATATATGTTGTTGCTCCATTTCACATAGTTTCTTTTTTGCAGCTATTAACCGTTTTTGAAACTTTTTCCTTTCTTTCCATTCCTGAAATATGACAAAAGTATGCTCAAGACAAGAGTGACTGATACAATCATGTAAACACAGGAAATATGAAAACATACAGAAGCATCGTGAATCCACGGAACAGATTGAGAAGATGAGCATATAAAGCAGCAAGCAGAAATGCAAACACAGGGTGACTTAGACTAGTTGTAAGAAATTAACATTAATTGTACCAAGATAACAAGATTTCTAGAACCAAGGTCAGATCATAGACACAAAATTCAGTGATTGCCTCAGGGACATAACACAAAATATACCTTAAAGATGCAGATATCTTGCAAGAAAGGAATATCTTTCCCAACAGTTGCCTTTAGAAACTCATGGTTAATAAAATACTCCAAGCAGCACAAGGATAAACAGAAGGCAAGCAAGCAACAAAATTACATGCCTCAAAAATCAATGTAGTCATCTACGAAAAAATTCTACTTAAAAGGAGAACGAAGAACAGACAAGACAATAAGCTAACAAAATGCTATTAGAAAGAAATCATGGCAACCAATGAATAATAAATTATGTAGAGTACAAAAGAATATGGCTTACAAGTTGGCGCCTTTCTTTCTTGGACCTCTCATCAGAGCGTACATTTAACTCAAGGAGTCCCTTTGGAGGTGTGATCTGCATTTCTCTTCTAGTCAAATCAACATTAGGAACAATTTCCTCAACAAACGGTACCCAAACAAGGGGACCAGAATCCCCAGCTTCTATCAAATTAGACTCCCCACTTCCATTAGGCATAACTACAGATGATTTGAGCATGACATGTAAGAGATCACTAGCTCCAGTATTGAAAACATCAACAACTGTCCCCACAACTTGACCAGTTTCCTGAGAGGAAGCAGTACAGACAAAACTTGAAAATCCAAGCTCCAACAACCATAACCAAAATGAACAAAAGAAAAGTATAGAATTTAAACAATAAGCTCATCCAAAAAGATGAGAAAGAAAGGAATAAAGTTCATTGAAAAGCACAGATACATTAATAAACTGACCATGGGCAAAATAATTACTATAATTAAAGAGAAAGAGAAGTCAAATTCAACAGTTAAGCTGTGTTGAAAGGTGGTTTCTCAATTTTGCAGTGAAAATTTATTGTCTGGCCCTACATATAGAAAGGAAAGAACTGCTCATAGGTAAATGAAACAAATAAGAGAAAAACAATAAGAAAAGGAAAATGATGCTTTTATGGAAGTTGTTAGATTGGTGTATGGAACATTGAGGGATGCTGAGCCAATAAGTATATTACCTTGAGAATGACTCTCATTCCAACAAGATCAGGAGTATAAAATTCACCTTCTTCCAAATGTGGCCTATCATCTTCCTCTACCAATAAAGTTGAACCTACAAGTTGCCTAGCCTGAACAATAACTTAAATGTTTATTCAGGAGAAAGAGAGAGCAAGCATAAAAAGATCAAAAGAGATACCTAAACGATAGAGATAGACGTTATTAAGAGTTAAGACGTAAACAAATGTTAAAAAACAAACTTCTCTAATCATCTCACCTCATCCATAGTTTCAATCCCACTAAAGCGAAGTATCCAACTCTTCCGTCCAGGATGTTCCCTTCCTTCAACAAGCTCTACTTCTTTGATTGTTTCTTTACCTGAAACTTGTTGCCTTATCCATCTTCTCCCAGCCTGAAAAAGCATAAACTTTTATAAAGGTAAAAAAGAAAGAGAAATTTTAAAGAAAATTACCTAATGCAAAGGCCAAGAACATCTTTTACAACATGTCTTACCTTGCAAAACCGCAGTTCTGGAAAATCAGTGCTGGGTTTTATACAAATCTCTCCCTGTAGCCCATGAACACTGGATACGAACCCAATTGCAACAAATCCAGACACATTCTTGCTAGCTTGAATCATCTCTTCAGTAGCTGAAGTAGCCAAGTTATGTCAATACATATAATAAATCACCAAATTAAAAAAAAAAAAAAAAAGAGCATGCGTGTATGTAAACTCAAACAACGGAAACAATTGAAAAAGAAATGAAATACAAAACCCAAGAAACAAAAACAAGCAACACCCAATATAAACAACCCTCCAATTGATCCAAAACTGGCAAATAAACCCAATACCAGTGCTGTGCAGTGGAGAAAGGCCATGGCAATGACCATGGAGACGATTCAACGACAAACGGAGACGAGAGGAAGCAAAGAGAGAACGTGAGAGACGGTTTCTAAAAGAAGCTATGAGTGGACGACAAGTGTAAAGAGAAGGTTGCGGTGAAGAGATTGGATTTGAAGAACAGAGAAGTGAAGCTGTTTGCATCTTTGTTTTTGTTCACTTTTGTTTCCGGTTTCAGCTTGACCGTTTCAAGTCATCTGATACTAAGGAGACAGAACATGCGGTAGCATTCATCAAACATTGTTTCACCGGATATTTGTAAGAGAAAAAAATATCAAGGGTAAATTCCATTGGATCTTTTAAGTTCTGAGCATAATTTTACACGAATTCATTATTTTGAAAAATAAACAATTCATTTCAATTTATAAGAAAATTACAAAACTATTCCTCAAACCTAAATTTATTATATTTATATATTATTTTTTATATCTATTAAATATATAGTGACAAAAATTATTTGTATTTAAACATTATAACTTTTTAAATTAGGTTTATTTCTTTAAATAATTTTAATTTAAAATAAATAAATTTATCATCACTATATTTTTACAAACATATTGATTTAAGTTTAATATATATATATGAATATTATAATAATTAAAATTGAATTAGCAAATATTTATTGATGATATATTTTGTTCAACCAACCTTTTTTTTTCATATTATATCGGGGTGAGAAAAAATTAAAAAAATAAAAATTAATTCAAAATCATAATATTTGATTTGATTTATATTGAATTTTGAATTAAGAAATGAAAATTGAATCAAATTAAATTATATATTTTTATTAATTTAAATATTTTTTTAATTTTTATAAAATAAAAATAATTATTTTATACTTAAACTATTTAAATAATAGTAAAAATCATATTAAAATAATATATACAAAATTTAAATTTAAAATTTGATAAATTAAACCAAATCGAATTAATAAGATTTGATTTAATTTTAATCGAATTATATTGAAGTTTGGTTAGAATTTTGATCAAATTTTAAAAATCAATAATTTTATGTATTAATCGAAAAAAACAGAAGCAAATTTATCTAATCTGTTATCACCTTTACTTTTGTTTTTTTATTACTACATGTCAAAAATAATATTACATGTTTAATATATTCATTTTATTATACATATATTTGCATATTAACATACTTATAATTATAAGCTATTTTTCTTTATTTTATCCATTTTTTTTAACTAGAGATTTGATATATTTTGAGAAAAATAAACTATTGTTGTTATTAAATATTATTTTATGTGAGTATTTAAGAATATTAATTTTTTTAAAGTAAAATAATCTTTGAAATGAGATTTTTAATATGAAAAAAACCTAATCATATATAATATTATATTATAATATATATATGTGTGTGTATATATATCTATACTCGTTAAGGTGTTTTCATGCGGATGTTTAGATATATGATTTCTCTTTTTTACACGTACAAAAATTTTAAAAATTTTTTTTTTATAATGACATAAAATATATTTATAAATTATTTAACTATCCAAACTTTCAAATTGAAGTGAAAAACTAATTTAATTATATTTAAGTTGCCATTAACAAAATCTAATTTAAATATATATATTTTTAAAATTACATTTTAAAATAATCTAAATATATATGTTTTTCAATTTAAAAATTTTAAATATATAGTGTTATATTATCTTTTAAATAGGTTTCCTAATAATATATATATTTTTAATTTAAAAAATTCAAATATAGTAATATTATAAAATTAATTTTTTAATAATTTAAATATATGACAGTTTATATTTGAAATTTTAAAATATAATTTTTATTTTTTAAGAATTTATAATAATTGTTTATTATTTGATTATTTTTAAATTTAAAAAGACTAAATATCACATATATTAATATATCATAATTTATTTTTTAACAATACTTTCAATATTAATTATATTTCTATTTCTATTTTTTAACTTTTATAATTCCAAAAAAATAGTTTCTTAACATGTGAGACGCACTAAACGTTTTATATATGAGATGTATAGTTTTTATTACATTTTTATAATATGTGCATTCGCATGTTAAAGAAATAAAAATCATTATTTTTTTTTGTTTTTAAATTTTTATGCAAATTTTATTTTATTTTTTGTTTAAGGGTGCATGCATGGATTTTATATAAGTTTTTTGACAATTCATGGATGTTAGAGAAAAGAAATCGATTTCGCACAATAAATATTTTTCTTAACTATTTTGATAATTGAAAGTAAAAAAATATTGATTTAATTGGTGTTTTCAATAATACTATATATATATATATATCTATTGAATTTTTTTTTCAAATATTATTATATGTTTTAAAATTTTAATTTTATTATATTTTAATATCCTAATTATATTATTTATTGTTTATATATATATAGAACATTTAAGTGATTAAATAATATTAATTTACATATTTAAATATATTAAATAAATAAAAACAATCAATATATTTTAAGAATAACAATCTAATTATCATATAAAATTAAAAATTTTAGAATGAATTTTTTACTTTTTAAACTAATAAATTTATATTAAATTACACTAAAAACTCAAAGAACTTAATGAAAGCATAAATTTTTTTTTTTGGCAAATCTTGGTCTACCAGACCTTATTCCACTTTAAATTTGTTCATAAATACATTAGTAAGAAGCTTCCAATGATAAAAATATAAATTATCAAATTGATTTCATAAATTTTTTTATATTTTAGATTATGATTTTAATATATAAATTAAAAAATAATTATAAAAATAATTTACAATCAATAATTTTTCTCACTTTTTTTCTTATTCAACAATTGTGTGATTTTTAAATAAATTATTAAATTATTAATTTTATTGAATATTTTATTAATCAACAATATTATATATTAAAAATATTAAATATTTTTATTTTAAATATCAAATTTTAATTATGATAAATTCAAATATATGTAATTAGAAGAGGTAACCAATAAAACTTTAAATAAACAAAAAAAAAATGATAATTTATTATCTTAAAAAAAGAATATTAGATCAGCATATACTTAAAGAAAAAAAAAAGTCTTTTGATGTATTTATTAAGTAGTAGAGTGATTGGATAAACACTTTTGACTTCTATACCTGAATAGAATGTACAGACACGTGTGTTTATCTGCTCATTTGATCCCGCCACGTCATCCATTGTTTAAATTTATGTACCAAGTAAATAAAAATTTCAAATTATTTTTAGTAATTATTTAATTTACAGCTAGATAAATAAAGTCCAAAAAACGTATTCCATCCAGGTCATAATCCCCAGCGACATCGATTAATGGCAATTTTGCAATTCCGCCTCAACTCCGAGGTCCTTCTTTTTCCCTTTTTTTTTTTTAAAAAACGTGTTTCTGGACTCCAAAACATATTTAAATACAGATAAATCCCCCATATTCAAACCACAATTCCTCTCTCAAATCATTCTCTGCTCTTTAAACTCCATTCGTCCAATCATCATCGTTTCTCAAAATTTTTTCCTTCTTCTTTTCAAGAAAAAGAAAAATTTTAAATTAAAAAGCCGCATTAAAGTCTTTTACAGAGAGAAAGGCAAAGCAAAGCAATCTTTTTTTTTACTACAAAGTCTCTCTCTTCACGTCTCTCTCTGTTTGTGTGTGTGATCGTGGCAGAAAGCTTCCTATTGAAAATCAGTTCATTCTTCCCTTTTTCTTTATTGAAATAACTCTCTTTGAACCTCATTCAGGTAATTCTTTTTTCTATTCAACTTACTGCTTAGGTGGTTTTGTTGATGATTTTATTTGAATTTTAAAGTTAACAATTTCAGTAAGTAAGTTTGTGTTTTTGATATTAGACCTAATATCTTTTTTACAGAAGTTTTCTGTGTTTTGTTTGTCTTTGAGTTTTTCATTAGATGGCATTGGTTTTTGATATTAGGTATTAAAAAGTTGATTGCTACTGTATAACTGTTGGTCAAAATACTGAATTTTTAGCTGTTATTCTAACCATTTTTTTTATTGATTATGTGCCTTTTTGGACTTTTTTTACAATCTTGATTGTGGGTTTTTTTTTTCTTTGGATTGTTTTTGGACTTTGGATTTAGAATTGGTTTCACTCTTAGATAGTGATGAATTCGGAATTAAAATTTAGGTGTAATGATTCATGAAAACAGATAAAAAACTTAAGGCTTCTGAATTTTACTGGAGATAGTATTCCAATTTGAAGTCTTGTAACTTATTTAGGCATAAAGATTTGGATGTTTTGTGATGTTATTCATATTATTATACCAGGTGTCATGGTGTGGGGTTCTTTAAAAATTCATTGTACAGGTTGTGACTTTATTTTTGACTTATCCATATTCCCCTCAGAACAATTCTGAGATTCTGTGTTTCTTACTGTTCTTAGTAGTAATTTAGTTGCCATTAGCCAAGTTGTGCAATGCTCTGTCTCATAAGATTGATGTATATTATATTCCCTTATTCTCGGCAGAAAAGGCAATGCAATGAAGCAGTCTGCTGATGATTCAGCTTCAGGTGATTTCACAATTGTTGTTTTTATGCTGCCAATACATGAAGTTTGTTTTCTCATTTAATGATCTTGTTAATCATGTATGGTATAGATCCTACTAAGATTCCAATGGAAAATGAATCTAAGGAAGTGCAAAGTGCATGGGGGATTTTATCTGGTTCTGATATCTGCCATGCCTCAAGTGATACTACCCTTTTTTCTAGCTCATTGCCTGTTCTTCCACATGAAAAGTGTAGGTGTCAGAAAATGTTTAAAGATTATCTATTGTATTAAGTAGAGTCTGACCTGATTTTGACTGTATGCAGTGAAATTAAATGATAACGATCATGGTTATCAACCACTTGCTGATATCGCATCTGATCTAAATAACCTCCATCAAGATATGGAGGGCAATAATCCACTTGAAGACATTGAAGCTCATGCACTTGGAAGCTTACTTCCTGATGATGAGAATGAGCTTTTAGCAGGCATAATGGATGACTTTGACTTAAGTGGGTTGCCTAGTTCACTGGAAGATATGGAGGAGTATGATCTTTTTGGTAGTGGAGGAGGTATGGAATTGGAAACTGATCCACAAGAGAGCCTGACCATTGGTATGTCAAAAGTGAGTCTGTCTGATACTTTTGTTGGAAATGGCATGCCGCATTTTGGTCTTCCAAATGGTGTTGGAACCATCGCTGGGGAACACCCGTATGGAGAACATCCTTCACGGACATTATTTGTTCGGAATATAAATAGCAATGTTGAGGATTCAGAACTAAGAGCGCTTTTTGAGGTAATTGATTCTTCAATTTCTTTCTGATGGCATTCCTTGACACCCCATTCTTAG